GTCGCCTTCTCCTTCGACATCGCCTGGACCTTCGACATCGTCCTTCGACGTCGACTTCGCCTTCGATCTGCTCTCGTGATTTGCTCGCGATTGCTCTCGCCTTCGATCTTCTCGACATCGCCTTCGCCATTGCACCTTCGATCTGCTCACCTTTTTCTTCTTCTCTCTCATCGATTTGTGTTCTGTTCTGTCCCCTCCCATTTTTAACATATAATAAATAATATAATTTGTTATATAATAATAAATCTAATTAAAACAAATATAATAAAAAAAATCAAATAAAATCTATAAAATAAATCACTCAATTTTTATTTTTTATTTATTTAACATATTTTATTATTCCTTTTTATATTTTTTATTTATAATATATATCAATTAAAAATAAAAATAATACCTAAGATAAAAATAATAAATATATTTAAAAATAACTATTTAACTCACCTTTATATAATAAATATATTCTTAAAATAACTATTAAATATATATATATATATATATTACCGCTTCCCGAGGCGCTCCCAATCTAAGAAACTTCTATCGGCTCACGCTTCCCTCCCGCCCCCACTCTCGCTTCGTGCAACTAAGGATTGATCCTTCCCTATGTCAGTCTAGTCGTCATCACACATGTTTCTTTTAGAATGTCAATTACTTGGTAATCTTTCTCTTTCTCTGTGGTGTTGTTATCACTTGAATAATAGGATTATGAGGTTTATTGCCAATCATCATACCAAGTGCAAAATTACTTCATCAACATCAATTCTGAAACAAACTAGGTGGGTGGAGTATGGGAATTAAATGGATTCAAACAAGGGTATGGGGCTTTCTCTTCATAGCTCTGGTCCAGATGTGCGACTGGTTGTTTAAAGGAGGGAGGGGATGAAGTCAAGTTGAGGGGGAAATGATGGTAAGGGTAAGATGAATCTTGTAGTTGGGATGTAAATAGCAGATTTGGATAGCTCTATTTCTGAGAGGTGTGAAGAGAAGGCGACGATGTCTACAGATTCATGTCTTTCTCTAGCTATGTTTAATCTCTAGAGGATGGGGGTCTTTTGTTCAATGACAGTCAACGATGAGGTAGAGGTCAAAAAGATGGACAGGGTATTGTTTATTAGCAATGTAAGGGGGATGGAGTTCTATGTTGAATTTGATGATAATGACTTTTTAATATTGATGAAAGTAGGCAAATCTACTTGTAATTGCGAGAAGTTTTCATGCATTACTGATAAGGGAGGTAGTTTGAGCCATGAACAGATTGAACAATTGGTTAGAGCATCTCCAATGGTGTTTGCTAAAATAACATTGCCATTGCTATAATTTGGCAATGAATAGTGTTATTTTGCCAAATTATAGCAATGGTGCTCCAATGGTCACATACTATTTTGGCAAATCTCAACTAACTTTTCCTCCAAGTTTATAGGTGTTGTTTGGATATAGGTTTTTTAGTGATTTCTTTTTTGTCTTTAGTGACAACTGTTTCTAAAAAAAAACTATATATTTACATTATTCCCGATTAGACAAATATAAAAAATGAAAAAAAATTGAAAAATTGAAGGAAAAAAAAATTAAATATAATTCATTGTACCAAAATTCATACCATTACAAAAAAAAAATATATATATTTTTTTTAACTAAGCACAACGGCTTCATACCTTCCATTTTTTTTTTTTGGTTTTTATTAGCCAAACAGAGCACAACAACTCTATTTCTTTCGTCACCACTGTCCACGTACAAACCATCAACGGTTGAGATGATTTGTGTAGAATCATCCAACCTTTTTCCTCTCCCTCTCACTCTCTCTCTAACCTTTTTGTCCTCCCTCACCCTCTCAGTCTCCCGCTTTCTCTCATTCTCAGATATCATCTCTCTTCTCTCTCTGTTCGAGTGGCGATGGTGTCGACCCTCAATCGCCAAAGACCAACAGCAACCTCTATCTCCCTCTCACTCTCACTCTATCCCTCTCCCTCTCACTCTCTCCTCTCTCTCTCTTCGATCGGTGACGGTGTCTACCCCCAATTGCCAAAGACAACCTTTCCTCCCTCTCTCTCTCCCTCTCCCTCTCACTCTATCCCTCTCGCTCACACTCTCACTCTCAGTCTCCCTCTCCCTCTCCCCCAAGCGCCGCCGTCTACCCCCATCCCTCTTTCTCTCATTTCTCTCTCTCTGTCTCTGTCTCTCTCTCACTCCTAGAATGGATCGGCGATGTTAGACAAGATCACGAAGAAGATTGAAACCCTAATGAACACAAAGAAGATCATCCAAAGAACACAAAGAAGATCAACCTATTTCTATCAGGTATGTTTTTTGATTTCACTGTATTGATTTTCTAATTTTTTTAATTTTTTTTTGCTTCAAATTGCTGAAATTGAAAATTGGAAATTGATTTTGTGTTTTGAAAGGATGATGATTGTTGATTTTCTAAATTGATTTTGTGGTTTTAAATCATTGTGTTTTGAAAGGAAATTGATTGTTGATTCTGTGTTTGGAAATTTGGTACTTGATGATTCTGTGTTTTAAATTTTTAAATTGTTTATTTTCTAGCTTGCTTCTGTGTTTGGAAATTGATTCTATGTTTTGAAATTTGATATGTTTGAAATTTGTATGATTTTTGGGTGAATATTGCTTATGTGTTTGGAAAGGATGATGAAAAAGGGAAGGAGGGAGGAAATAGTTGGTTGAAGTTGACTTCGCAGCTTTGGCATTTGCCAAAGATAACAGCTGCTAAAACTTACCATTGGAGGTGCCTTTCTATCAACTGTTGCCATAATTTGGCAATAGCAACTCCAATGGCACACCATTGGAAATGCTCTTAGGAAGGTGAGTGAATTGAAAGTAGAAGATAAAAAGTTGGAAGATTAGATTTGATGGTTGTGCCATCCCGTTAATGTGTTGAATTATTTTAGCTATGTACATATATTTCTTAAATTTTATATAATTTTTTAGTCTCCACAAATACTGCAAATTGATGAAATTGTTCCACAAAAATTTTGGTTACTAAATTTGTTTTAATGCCATTGACATATACTGCAAATTGCCTTGAGATGAGCAAAGACAAATGTAGTGTGTGGGTGACATAAGTTCCTTTTCCACACGATTGTCGTCTTCTTCTAGGATGATGGAGGTCACCTGCAGTGATTGTGTCCTATGCTTGCCCAGTAGGACCAACACTAACCATCCTAGCTCTCTGAATTTCTTGGGTCTCGTAACCTGTGTCATGATTCTGCTAGATATTTTGGCGACTTTTCTGTATGTATACAATGAGAGGTATGTTGACTTCTTAGCGTTGCAATTGCTTGCATCTATTCTTAAGAGGTGAATGAAAGGAAAAAAGCTTACCACTTCTGACTTTCATGTACCAAAAATTTAGCTCTCTTGAAGCAAGGTGCCTCTATTTACACACCACCTTTCATCTCAAGGCATTAATTAGCTTATTTTTTTATTACAATATTAACCTAATGTAAAATGACCACAAAGGACAAAGGGCTATGATACACACCTTACGTAAAATTACCATAAAAGACAATAAAATACAATGCACACCAAACGTTACTTACGTATCTTCTCTCTCAAAAACCAAAAAATCCTGAAACAAAAACCAAAAACCGTTAAACAAACAACCAAAAATATACGTATTATTGAAGATTTTGATTGGACTGAATGATGGATGCATCTGGCAATATTGATTTGGAACAATAGAGCAAGGAAAAGGTTAGTTTTTCATTTATTTATTTTTTTTTGGTGTACTTGTTGTGTGGTAAACTGTTTGTATTCGTTCGGATATCCAAATTCGAACAATGTACTCATGTTCGACTATCTACAATCGAACAAGTTCTAATTGTTCGATTTTCTAGTGTCAAACATATTAAAAGTGTTCGACATAAACACACCGGACAAAAGGTTAACGTTCTAAAGACCAGTGTCGAACGGTTTGCAAAATGAAATTTTCAAATACAATGGGCATGGCAACGGAAAAACGTACATAAAACCCTAAAATCTAAGGCAAATGAGAATTTTCACGTACTGTATCTCCAATGTGGAGTTGTTTCCAACCGTGATGATAACAACGATGATGATCATCATCGACTTCTTTGATGATACAAATAATGGAGGGGGTCGTGAATCAGAGGAGAATGGAGTGAAGTCGTCTTCAGCACGAATGGAGACCGGTTTAGACTGGTTTCCAGACTGGTTTCCAAACCTCTGGGATGACAATGAAACAGAGAATGGAGGGGGACGTTGTGTGTGTTTTTGAAGTGGAGGTGTGGAATATGGAAGGTTGAAGATTGTGGGTGGGGTGTGGAGTAAGGGTAAAGATGGAAGATTGTGGTGTGTATTGAGCAAATTTCTTATTTATCAAATTACTAAAGGTGTGCCTTGAGATGAAAGGTGGTGTGTAAATAGAGACACCCCTTGAAGCAGTCTTATGCCCTTTAGTTTATGAAGTCATTTCATTTCAAGTAATGCGTTGCACACAAACTCAGAAGAGGGGGAGGCGGGAAAGAGAACCTTGTTTTGTGGCTAACATATTACATCTTTTCTGCCATGTAGAGAAATGTCGGTGAAGCCCTCATTTAATTGGCCGGGAAACTTGCTGGTAGCCTGCTATCAGCTATGTGAATCCTATAATCTTACTCACCATGTAGGTATTTTTACTCCAGGTGTTCAAAGATTATAGTTTTTGATATTTCTGTGATTCACTTAATTTTTGGGGAGCCGTTTTGTGTAAATAAAACTAGTAATAAGATTTGTATCCAATCCACCCTCCTAACCAGTGTTTTTAAAGGCTCAAGGCGCACTAAGGCGCCGAAGGTCTCTTGGAGCCTAGGCGCAAGGCGCAAGGCGAGGCGCGGGCTTTATTGAAGCAAGGCGCACAGTATTCGTAAAAAATAGAAAAATTAATATAGACTAATCATTCATAGTACTTTTACAATTTTTTTAAAAATAAAAAGTAATCAAGATTCAAGACAAAATATAGAATAATTCTCAAAGTCATGAAAGTGCATATTACATAACATTTCAATTTTCAAAGATCAAATAATCCACATTCAATAAAATAAAAACATAAACACTAAACATCTAAAACATAAATATCCAACAAATACTAATATATGTCTTAACACTTAAAAACATCAATATCAAAAGAAAGGGTAGGTTAGGTCGGTGTCAGTCAATCATCATCCTCAACATCAATGGCAAGCAAACTATCATCTTCTTCTCCATCAGTTGATTTGTATCCCTCAACATCTTCCTCCTCTGTGTCATCTGAGCCCGCTTCCTCTTCATCTATTAATTGAAGTGGAGTCAATGTTGATGATTTAGATATCCTCGGTTGTGCCTTTGAGCGTGAACTTGTTGCTCTACTTGCATGGCTACTTTCTTCTACTCCAGAAGCTCTAGCAACAGTAGCCCACGTCAAGCCATCATCATCATCAAACACAGGCTCATTATCTTCATCTGATTCTCCATCCATCCTCCCAAGCAACCACTCATTGCTTTCATCAATATTTTGCAAAGATATGGGATCAAGAGTGTTGCGCATGTCATACCTAAATCTCAATGTTCTATTGTATTTGACAAACACTAAATCATTGAGACGTTGTTCCAATCTATTTCTTTTCTTGCTATGAACCTGCAATTATTAAAAAGATATTAAATTCTATATAATGAGAAAAAAAAAATTTGAATTCAACAAAAAATTAGTTAGAATGTTAAATACTCACATGTTCGAATACACTCCAATTTCGTTCACAACCCGATGAACTACATGTTAAGCTAAGGACTTTTATGGCAAAAGTTTGCAAGTTTGGAGTATAAGAACCATATGATGCCCACCAATCAGCTGCGATAATCCACTAGTTAGAAATAATTGTTACCAAGTATTGAGTCTTACTAAAAGTATTACTAAAAATAAACTCTATGAGTCTATAATATATTACATGGTGCTCTTGTATTTCTTTGCCTAATCGCAACATACTTGCCAAAAAGACTCTCAACCTTCATATAAATACTCATCTCATTAGTGATCAAATCTTGAACAGTGACATCCGGGACCAACCTTTACATGCATTCATAAAACCCATTCATCACTTCATAATCTCTTTGCACCTCTAACGCTTTTAGGTAAAAGAATTCTGGGTTAAGAAAATGCGCAGCTGCATATAAAGGCCGATGCAATTGGACATCCCATCTTTTGTCAATGATTTCGAAGATTTCATTATACTTCTCTTCTTTATGATCAAAAAGGAAAAAGAAAGAATTATATAATTTTTTAGACAAGCTGTTCTATTTTTAGTTTTGATATTAAAACTTTGATTTTTATGTTGGATGTTTAGCTATAAATTTAAAATAAAATAAAATTTGATGTACCCCAGCCGTACCCGTACCTTATTTTTTTTAAGAATTTGCTGTATCGGTGTACTTGTACCCGTACCCGTACCCGTACCCGTATCTGTACTTCATACCTTAACAATATTGAAAAAATCTTGAGATTCTTTTTATGGAAAGGGGTAAGTCTGAATACAACCAGTACAAAGGTGGCTTGAGAGTCCCTATGTTGTCCAAAAGAAGAGAGGGGTCTAGGCTTTAAGAATTTGAGCACTTGGAATAAAGCTGCAACAATTCAACACCCTATGAAGCTTGGGTGCGGGTATGGATACGACACGGGTACATCAATACGGCAAATTCTTAAAAAAGTAAGGTACGGGTACGGTTAGGGTACGTCAATTTATTGTTGTTGTTTTTTTTTTTAAAAATTTATAGCTAAACACCCAACATACAAATCAAAATTTCAATATCAAAACTAAAAAGAGAACAACTTGTCTAAAAAGTTATATAATTTTTTCTTTTTCTTTTTTTATTGTCTAAAACATGATGCAAAAGAGAGTAAAATCATGACTCATGGATAAAGGGTGTTGGAAATAAATTACTTGATATTTTCAAAATTGAAAGAAAAACAATAAAGGCTGCAACAAATTCTAGCAGCTGAAAAAAAATAAATAAATAAATTCAACTCACTGTACCAGTGTCGTACCCATGCCGTACCGGTGTCATACCCACGACATACCCAAATGTATTTACCGTACTTGGCATGTATTCGGCGGGGGGAAGGGGAGAGAGTCGAACCTGCGAATCACAGAGCTGAAGTCAATCTGCGAAGTTGATCGAAGTAGAACCTGCGAATCGAATCTGCGAACCCTAATCGAACGTGCGAAGTTGATCGAAGTTGATCGTAGTCGCAGAGGAAGAGGAAGACAGGAAGAGGCGACTTCGATTAGGGTTATCTGAGCCCTATTTGGCTCATATGGTCCATGAGTCGTAATCCTCTATGATTACGAGGCCTTCGATTAGGTCGATTAGGTTCATCTGAGTCGTTAGATGGGATCAACGACTTGAACACTCAGTCGCGCATAGGCAATCGCCTTGCGCCTCTCGCGCCTTGATCCAGTCGCGTCTAAGGCGCTCGCCTGGATGAAGTCGCCTCGCCTGGTACTTCAACAGGCGCAGATGGTGCGCCTTGCCTCGCCCTGCGCCTAGGCGCGCGCCTAGGCGCGCCTTTGACAACACTGGACACAATATAAAAAAATTAGGTGGATGAACCTTGGCTACTACTTGTCAACTTGCGGTGTTGATTGACATTGATCTCAACGACATCATCATCTTCATCTTCATCTTCCATGTCCATGTCATCGAAATCAGGCAACATGTTCATTTCTTCTTTTTGTGTCTTTTTTTTGGACATGAACTCTCTAATCTCTTCTCTTACATGAGAATGACACTTCGGGCAAGCATTGATATTCCTATAACCTCCCGCAAGGTGATAAACACCTCCATTTGATACTTTACCACAAAAATTACACTCAAACTTGTTTAAATTATTCTCCTCCACCAAATGGGCATATTGCCACGCCGGATCTTTTCTATTACTTTCCGATGTCATTTTTTACTTAGTACTTGCTACACAACACAAAAAATAAATAATAAAAAAATAATTTCAGTATAATGAATGTAATGCATGTTATGTGATGAATTAATTAATGTATGTAATGTATGAATCAATTTTCTATTTTTTTAATTAATGATGAATTAATTAATTAATGTACATTACATTCCATTACATTCATTCTTATGTTACATTTAATTTTCTTGTAATGTATGTAATGTATGAATTAATTAATGTTATGAATCAATTTTCTATTTTTTTAATTAAAGGTGAATTAATTAATTTCAGTATAATGATGAATCAATTTCAGTATAATCATAATGAATGTAATATATCTATTTTTTTATTTATGTATTTATGTATGAATTAATTAATTAATTTATTTGTTTATGTAATAATCAGGGTTATGAAAGTCAAATAATTGAAAAAAAAATTATTTATTTATTTATCATAATCAATTAATTTATTTATTTATTTATGAATTAATTAATTAATTAATTAATTTATTTATCATAATCAATTTTAGGCTTCCTATTTTTTTTCAGACTCAACTCAAATAATTGAAAAAAAAAATAAAAAAATAAAAAATTAAAGCAAAACAGTTGAAAAAAAAAATAAAAGAAAAAAAATAAATAAATAAAAGCAAAACAGTTCAAAAAAAAAATAAAAGAAAAAAAAAATTAAATCAGAGAGTGAAGTCGAGATCGAAGATGAAGAAGAAGGGGAGAGAGTCAAACCTCCGGATCACAGAGCTGAAGTCGATCGAAGTTGAAACTTGCGAAGTTGATCGAAGTAGAACCTGCGAATCGAACCTGCGAACCCTAATCGAACTTGCGAAGTTGATCGAAGTTGATCGTAGTCGCAGAGGAAGAGGAAGACAGGAAGAGGCGACTTCGATTAGGGTTATCTGAGCCCTATTTGGCTCATATGGTCCATGAGTCGTAATCCTCTATGATTACGAGGCCTTCGATTAGGTCGATTAGGTTCATCTGAGTCGTTAGATGGGATCAACGACTTGAACACTCAGTCGCGCATAGGCAATTGCCTTGCGCCTCTCGCGCCTTGATCCAGTCGCGTCTAAAGCGCTCGCCTGGTACCTCGACAGGCGCAGATGGTGCGCCTCGACTCGCCCTGCGCCTAGGCGTGCCTTTGACAACACTGCTCCTAACTCCACCCAATTTTAACAGAATAAAATGGCGAAAAAAGACTTACGTAGCCGACCCCGCTTGGGTCATGTTAACGTGTGTCCTTAGGGCACATGCTAAGAAAGAAAAATATTGTACATTCTTTATCGCACCCACTTTATGCATAATGTATAATCTTTCTAAGCATCTTAACATGTGGCATACGTTAGCAAAATCCGTTTATATTTAGACTCTTTTGGATCACTCCTTTCCATGCACATTCTTCACCAGTTGCTATCCTGTTAATGCTGATATATATTTATATATATGCAAATTACTATCCTCTTAATATATACATATATGCCCTTAACTGTGTTTTTAATTTGGTCAATTGCTGTCTGTTTGTAGCAGTCACGGTATGATCTAGAAGAGGAGATGTGTAACGCTCAAAGAGAGGCAGTGGAGGCAGTGGAGGCAGCTCATCAAAAATGCATACAGATGCCCAGAATTATCCATTTGAGAGAAGCAGCAGCAACAGGCAGCAATGGTGAGAGGTCTGGAGATCACATGGACATTCCCAACCCAACCTAGAGGCTCAGAAACAACTCGACGGAGCAGATTCTCATGATAACTGTTGGCTAGGTCTCCCAGAAAAATCTTGGCGATTTTAGATCATAACCATCTGATTGATGCCTAGTTGGATGATTATTTTGGCCAATAAGCTACATTTCATGTTTAGCTTCTGTGAGAGGTTCAGCTTATGGACAAGGACTTCATGCCGCTCTTCAAGAATAGATCGTGTGCAGATAGATGGAGGTTTGAGAGTGAGGATTCTAGTGACTGAAAAAACATCATTTTTGAAATGTTTAAAAAAAAATGAAAAAAGAAAGAAAAAAAGAAAAAAAGAAGAGAGGTCAATGTAAAATAGATTCACATGAGAGAGGGAGAGGAGGAGCTCTGCGTATGGATTGGCAATGTGTACAGAGAAACAATGAATGTGTGGATGCAACTGACAAGAGTATGTTATATGTACCAGCAATGTGTACATGAATTCATCGCATTGAGAAAGATTGGTGGCCTTGACTGTTTGACTAATTTCAGTTGGGACGTTCCTAATGACAAAAGAATGCATTTTTCCCAGAGAGGCCTGCCTGGAAGCACTTTGTCCAAACAGAACTTGTGTTTTGTCTCTTTTTCTTGGTATAATTTCGTTTTCTATTTTTTTTTCCTCTTTTCTTCTTTGGTTTCTCGGAGAGTATGAAATGTTGTTAGTATACGGTCACTCACTGTTTGTGGTGTTTGTCTGGAAGTCTAGAAAATTAACAAAGACAAGATGACAAAATTTGTATTACATTGTGTTGTTCAACAATTTGTGGGTTGAAGCATTTGGTTGTGTTTCTGTTTTGATTTTGTGAACTAAAGCTTTAAGTAGTTGTACACAAAAAAAAAATAAAAAAATAAAGGTTTAAATTGAGCTTGGATCTTATCTTTTGTGTCAACATTTTTCCTTCGATTTTTTTTCCCAGTCAGTTTGTTACAAATATGGAAATTGTAGTTACTAATTTTGGACATGTCTGTTAGCATTTCATATTTTAGACCATATTTTGTTTCAATACACATCGTTTATACCATTTAGATATCAATTTTCAAATAGAAACAAAATGCTCGAATATCAAATTCTAAATAAAATTCAATTGTTCGAACAAAAATCTTGTTCAATAGTTGATATCTGAACATTTTTATTTTATTCAAAAATTAATATTCAAACGGCACAAATAGAATGTTTTGAGACAAAGTGGTGTGCAAATAGGATCACTTCATACTTTATTTAAGTTGGAAATATCAACAAATATGTGCAAGCAAATGCAATCACTTATAACAGTTCTGAATCGGGAAAAAAAAAAAAAAATTTTTTTTTTATCAAAGTTCAATTTGCAAAAAAATTATCAAAGTTCAATTTGTAGAGAATAGGGAAAGGGGTGGGAGTGTATGTTGGTGGAGGGGCTATGCACTGTGCTGGTTGTGTGGTGTTGAAGGCGCATTTTCCTGTACAAGATAAATCAGTCATTAATTTTTTAAATAGGGTAGATTTTTAATTTATTTCAGTATTAGGGTAAAATGCGATTCTTAACTAAGTTTTTCAAAAAAAAAAAAAAACAACAAACAAAGAAAAACGTGATTTCTACCAAAGTCTTATAACTTTTTTGTAGTATTAAAATAATATTATTTTATTATTAAAAAAACACATTTTTTAATTTAATTATCAGTGGTTACTAATTTGTTTTCCTGACTAAAAGCGTATTTAAAAGTAAAATTTTATTCATTTATATAAAAAAAATGTCCTTACTAAAAAAGTTCCTTTCTAATAATAAAAAAAAAGTTTTATCCAAGTCATTTATATGAAAAACTTTCTTAATAACATATTTTTATATATCCCACACTCCCCTTTGTTTTTTTTTCTTTTTCTTTTCTTTTTTTTTTAGCTCGTATATGTTTAGGATACTGTAATCGTGTCACGACCCGCTCCCCGTATCCAAGAGTTAAATATTTTGATGGCCAGTAACTGAAGTTACCTACAGCCAATTCATAAACAAATTAATAAACGCAAGTGGAAGAAATATTTGAGTAAGGGTACCAAAATAATAATTGGAGTTTCCATTTTTATTACAAAATATATTGACTAAAAAAGCCAATATTTATATATAAAAATATCATAAAAGTGTTGCGTGTGTCTATTCCGCAGCCCTGCGTCTAAGACTTTCCAGAAGCTATTTATGAATTGCATGTTTCCTGAAAATTGGTAAAAAACTATAAGCACATGGCAGAGTGAGAAATATTATACAAAGAGTATAGAGTATAAGAGACACGAAATAACCATGGACAATTAATTAGGCCAAAACATTTATATAACTCAGTTTGGTACATAAATCGTTTGAGTAGCAGAAACTGAAATACAGATATTATATAAATAGATAACCATAACCATGGTACAGAACAGAACAGAACAAAAGTCACAGAAGTGACAGTCAGAACAGAGGAACGGATTCAAGAGGTAGCTCGTACGGATTCTAGAGGTGGCTCCCGCTCCGCACAACACTTTGGTCCGCACAGAACAGAGGTACGGATTCAAGAGGTGGCTAGTACGAATTCTAGAGGTGGCTCCCACAATAGTGTAGCACTTAGCTCCGCACAGCACTTTACTCCGCACAGAACAGAGGTTAATGGATCCATGACAGACAGAGGACCACAAAGTGGTCAAACGGAGGCCAATGGTTATTTAAATCCCCCAAGGCGTGGGACTCCCGTGGTGGTACTTACAAAACATAATTGTTTATAAGGTCATAGTTAAATATTTTTTAAAATATAAACGGACATATCCATGGATTCTCTTTTGAGCAAATATGGTTCAAAAATAAAACCACGCAACTAAAACATTTATAAAACATAACTTTTATTAATATACTAATAAAACATAACCTATGTAAAACAGATTTTGGTAAGTCAAAATATACGTAAACTATATTTTGATGACTCAAGATATAATATAACTCACCTTAATTTTAATACCTTACCCTTTCTTTCTACCATCAAAGACTCTCTCAATTTTCATTATTTGTTTCCTTCTTCCTCTATTTTCTTTTCTTTTCTTTTCTTTCCTTTCCATCTTCTCTTCCTGTTCTTTTCTACAGACTGATTCATTCCTCCCTATTTATAGGGAGAAGACGCCACCAGCAGGCCAACACGTGGCCGAGTCCCAAATCATTCCACAGATTCTATAATTAATTATATAGATTTATTTTTACCCTTAATAAATATTTAAGATAATTATCTTTTGATTCAATATTTTAATATAATTATATAAATAATTTAATT